GGGCTGCGCTCTTTCTGCCGGCGTTGAACGGGGCCGGGGGAGCGCTGCCCTCGCTCTGCCACCCGCGCAGGTCKTGCGGTGCCTCATCCCTGCCTGTTCCTGCTCAGAAGGCGGGTCACGGCAGCAGCCAGGCCGGTCAGAAGCACTGTGCGGGTGATTTTAAACAAATTCCGTGGCCGGTGCCGGCACTGCGGATCCCGGCTGCCCCTGCGGCCGCGCCCCGCCCGGGCACTGCCGGGAATGCGGGCGGCCGGYGCAGCAATGGCGTGTGAGTGGGAGCCCCTCGTTCCTCTCCTCCCCCGCTCCTGCCCTCCCGCCCGGGCGGCAGAAGCTCCGCAGGGGCTGTCCCGGGCGTCCCTCGTGTTCCCGGAGTGCCCAGCGCTGCCGTGGCCGGGAAAGGCCTGGGTGCTGGGCGCTGGTGGAGGGTGTGGAGCAGTGCCGGGAGAAGGGAGCTCCGCTGGGCACAGACCGGGACACAGCGCTCCACCAGAAATGCCAACAAACCGGGCCTGCTTCGCTTCCGGTGCTTAACAAGGGAAAAAAAAAAAACCCCAAAACCCAGCATGTTTTGTATTGTGCTACAAATGTGAACCATTATTTTACTCCGATACAGCTTTTACCTGGTTGTGGCCTACATTGCTTTAGGCTTGTCTTGAAAATCGCTTTTAAAGAAATTTTTGAAGCAGCTGGTCTTGGCTGGGAGGAGAGGTCTTTCTCTACAGCATTGCTGCACATTTCTCTGCATTTCTCTTGCTTCTACATGTGGATGTTTGTAAACAAAACTGTGGCACAAGTATCTCTGTTCTGTTATGACCGAGCTTTAATTTTGCCCCTTAACAAACTCCAAACGTGAGGTATAGGGAAAATAAGATTAATTAACCTTATTCAGTTTCCTAGTGTTTTAAACATGGGATTTTCTCTGAGTAGATGGTGCTTTGTTTTTATTTCTTTGTTATTATTTCTTCTTTTATGCAGAAATGTAAATATTTAAGTGTCCAGTTTGTCTGAACACATTCCACAAATACTGGGAAGTTGCTGACAGATCCCTACTATGGTTATCTACATGGGTCTGAAAACTATGGTTGCATCTGTTCAGAATATTAGATAGGCTTTGTTCACTTAATAGACCCAGTAGTAAAAGTCTCTCACATAAGGAGTGGCAAAGGGAGCAGTTAATTATTTGCTTAACCTTTAGAAATTAGCTCCTTAGCGCTGAAGTGAGAATTAAGTAGGAAAAAGGATGTAACTTGACTGCTCCTGATCCAGTCTCATTTTCACTTGAATCATCTCTTCCAGTTTTTTTTAACCACTGGGACTGTGTTGTGTCCAGCTTTGTCTTTTTCTTGTTGTGATGCTTGACTGTATGATGAGGGACTTTTCCAGACAGGAGAGGTGCAATGAACCTGGRATRCTTTTMTTTATAAAGCCAGGGAGGGYTTGTTKGTTTGTTTGAAAAGAAACAGTTCTACCTGATCAGG